TACTCACAAGAAGGCTCTCATGCGCTCGTAGCCACGATCGATCTTAGACCCTCGTGTGGTGTACGGCTTCTACTCGGCAGATCCCACTACTGAAGCGAAAGACGCGATCACTCGATCGTTAGGCGTCTACTTAGTCGCCCCCCGGCCACTATATTAGCTGAGCTTGACTAGCAAAAAGCTTTCCGATCTCTCTTCTTGGTACCACAAGGAATTCCAATGGATCGGTAACGCGCTCGACTTCAAGCTCAAAAAGGAAGGCGCTTCTGTACCCACAATGCGGATTTTCTCCTCGCCCCTGGCGAAACCGCTGCAGATGATGAGGAGCTCTTTGAGCGATTGGTGCAGCGGCACCGAATATTTTACTCGCTGTCTACCTTCTATCGATGCCACAAAGAAGTGGACGTGCGCGTAGTACGCTTTCTTAGATTTGAGTTTGCCAAACTCAAGGCGCAACACCGACTTCTCGCGTATTGTCGCCCTGCGACACATGGAATCCATCATGCTTCCGTGAGCTCTGTGATTTCTCACACGGGTGAGTCTACGATCTCAGTAGGTCAGGGCCATAGCTTGACCTCCGCTCATGGCCCTCTGGCTTCCCGGGCTACTGCCGAGGAGCGCCGGACGCACAATGACGCGAAGCGCCATGATCCTTTAATCATACGCGTCTACGACGTCTTTGTAGTCTTGGGTATCCCCGCCACTTCACAAGATGTTGAGTTAAACCCTGTTGAAAACGTCGACTGACAAGGCCTTCCACGTGGTAGTGAACACTTCAATTCCGATTTATAACATTAATCACAATGCAGATTAGAGCCAAAGATGACAGCTCATTTTGGATTTCAAATAAACATTTTTAGTTCTATGTCAAAATATCTTGCGAATGCTGGAAAGCAGCAGCAATCTCTGAATACACTTGAATATAGTGCGCGCGCGTCCTAATAGTAGTGTGATCTCCAGGAATTAGCGCTACGTAGTTGGGTACAGCAGAACCATCTTGAGCGTTGTCCTTACTGTTTCCAACCAGCTTCTGCAGAGATCGACACGCCAAATCGAGGTAGTACGTGTCTTCAACACCGCAGAAAACGTGAATCTTGCCACGCAAAGTCGGGGTTAATAGACCAGGTCGTTGTTGTAGATACTTACAAATGTCAAAGCGCTCCCAATATTTAGCAACGTCACGATTTATGTCGCCAGATACCTTGTCAAACAGCGGAATTGGCATTCCGTCAGCTCCGCGTGGCCCAAACACAGCAAACTACAACCAGGACATAAGTATTCTAGCGAAAAATAACCCACTCAACGACATACTTACAAAAGCATCCCATTGTCCACCATTCCCACGACCAATAACTCGTTCCACTAGATTTTCATCGCGATTGCTACATATAACGAATCCATTGCTACGACTTGTTGGGTACGGGTGGCCATTAGTATCCCAGTATGCATTGTCAGCTTCGTATATATTCACGACTTGAAATTTTGAGAAATCAACTGGGTCCGGAGCAGAGCTCCAGGTACCACCGAAGAAATTGGAAAATTTCAGTTGCAGCCATAGTGAAGCCCAAGCACCGGACGAGTGACCATGCAGGTACCGACCAGCAGCAGAAGGAATTGCAGGATACAGACTTTCAAGGTATGGGATAAACTCAGTCACCAAAGCTGTACCCCAAGGACCGTTGGCTTCTGTATCAGCATACGATGTGTGACCGAATTTGAAGCGTGATCCCAGCGTTACTCTGAGCATTGGTATTGGCCATCGCCCAGCTTTCCAGTCGTGTCCCATCTCGGATGACAAAAACGCCTGGGCACGCTTTGCATACGACTCGGTACCAGTGAATCCTTCAATGTAGTAGACCGTTGGAAACGCTCGAGACTTTTGAAGCGTTTTGAAATTCCATGGTAAAACAATTGAAGCCATCATAAAAACATCCTGATTATGATACTCGCTTAATAATTTGCTCTTCATCGAGATATGTTCCAACCATTCAGTCGATGTCAAGTCCATACTCTCCTTGATGACATCATCCACTACAATTTGAACAACGTTGTTGGCTTTATTGTCATCATATCGCACTTCTACTGGCTTGCTGTATGTATTGCCAACTCTTGAATTTGCATCCGGATCGTTCACATCTAAATCACATCAACTCTTCTATATCAAAATCGATATGACACCATGTCCAGTATGATTGCCGTACTATGATTTATCAATGCTTGGACATAGAGCTTATCGGTAAACACGTTAAGATTCTGTGGTACGAAGCACAGAGCCTCTGGTGTCGAATACTCGGTACTCTCAAATTTAATTACATCACCCGGCTGGACACTTTTCTATAAATATAGTAATAGTTAGAAAACACTAAAATACTCATATTTATCACTTACGACATCTTTGGCAAAAATTGGGCGTGGTGATTTCATATCGAAAGCATGGAATCGTGGCTCTGGCTCCGGATCAGGAGCAAAAAATAAAATCACACGACCATCTTCAATTACCTCTTGTCCTTTGTACGTAATGTGGAAAACAAAATTTGATTTTTCGGAGCCCTGCCAGATAGTAATATGATAATCATATCACCTTCACCGTTAATTGTATGACTCTATAATTATGCCATACCTCAGGATAGAAATAATAATTACGAGCCGCCGGATGCCGGGAAAACTTGGCAAAAATGGTCTCCAATGCACGATTCATCACTAGTAGTTACGTAGGAATGTTGGCAAATGACAAAGTGACAATGATCAATTCACTGGATGGTGACTTATTCAATATATAAAATTCCTTTCGCTCATTGGTCTAATAAGGTAAGATTCAATTTGTCAAGGTAGAGCCAAATGAAACATTCAAATATTGATAGTCCTGAAGTGTCTATCGCCTGAGGTATTAACGTCCAAGAAGCTGTCGCATCAGGCCAAAGTTGTGTAGACAGCTAGCAGACTAGTCTACTTGCGCAATCACGTGACTTTACTTTGTGGCAATGGGTTCATTAAGCTGCATGTGGCTTAAGCAGGATAAATTTGGCCAAGATCCAGACAAAATGCTTAGGTCATGCTCATAGTCTTTTCCGTTACAAAGATTTGTTTATTTATTGATAAAGAGATAATACCATAGCGGTGGTTATGCTTCTTGTGTATTTCGAGCATAGCGTTATTGATCTCTTCATTTTAAAAGAGTCAACTGCTGATTGAAGCATTAGATATCGACGATTTATATGTCAGCGGTGGAATCTGTCTTTAATTCGGGCACTACTTGTGTGACGGATTTATCGATGGATACAGATTCGACGTATAGAACAGTACAAGTAGGCGAGTCACCAGTAGCTGCGTCAACAAAATGGGCCTCAAAACTGCTCGCGGAATCAAAAGCAGGTCTTGGACGATCGACAATGTCCATCTTGTCAGCGGTTAGTGACGGCACTTCAGGAGATAACGCTGGCGCATTGGGATTAGCAGAAACCAGAGCACGCTGCATCTACGTCAATGATTCTGTCCGGAATGCAGCACAAGGATTTTGCAATAACAAGGTGACCACAGCTCAATATACCAAGCTCAACTTTCTACCTCGATTCTTCTATGGGCGACTCTCGCAAGTTGCAAATTTTTACTTTTTACTCGTTGGGGCTGGTCAGATCATCCCCGAGATCTCGTCCACTCGAGCGATTCCATATCAGTGGATTGTGCTTGCACTCGTGCTTTCAATCGACGCTGTGTTTGCAGCTATTGAAGACCGTGGACGGCACATTGCTGACGCAAAGATGAACGCTCGGGTCGCGCATATTTTTGATCTCAATGAGCCAGATTGTTTTCGTGATGATACGTGGCGTTGTGTCGCGGTTGGCGATATTATCAAGGTGGAGAATCACGAAGCGATACCAGCAGATGTGGTCCTGCTTGCGGTGTGTGAGACCGATCCGAGTGCGCCGACTGGAATTTGTTTCGTCGAGACTAAATCACTGGACGGTGAAACGAATCTTAAAGTACGTCAAGCGCTGAGCTGCACGTTTTCACAGCTTAGCGATCCTCGTGCACTCGCTCAACTTCCTGGACGACTAATCTGTGAGCAGCCAAACCACGACGTCAACAACTTTTCTGGACGCTTTGAACCGCAAAGCGGACATGCGATTCCGATTGACCTGAAGAATGTTGTCATGCGGGGGTGTGTAATTCGTAACACACCCTTTATCTATGGTCTTGTACTCAATACGGGTGCGGATACCAAGATTATGCAGGCTGGTTCACACAATCCTCCGACAAAGGTGAGCAAGATTCTTGCCATTGTCAATCGTAGCAACGCGCTCCTGATGGCTATTCTTGCAATGTTGTGCATCTTGGGCGCTGCGCTCTGTGCATTGTGGGTCGAACAAAATCGAACAGGTGCTACGTACTTGCATCTCGACGAACTCAGCGGTGTCGCTCCTTTTCGAAACGATTTTGTTGGCATTTTAATTTTTTTGGGATATTTCTGGATCCTTATCGCCTCGTTCGTTCCGATTACCTTGTACGTGACAATTGCCATTGTCAAGACATACCAAACTTTTTTCATCAATCGAGACCTCGGGATGTACGACGAAGTGACTGACACACCAGCACTAGTGCGTAATTCGGATCTCAACGACGATTTGGGGCAAGTAACGCACATATTCAGCGACAAAACGGGAACTTTGACCGCGAACGAAATGGACTTTCGAAAAATGAGCATTCATGGCGTGTCATACGGACGAGGCACGACTGAAATTGGTCGCGAGGCCACACGTCGACTTGGGAAAGATCTCTCGGCCAGCGATGTGCTCGCGGACAGTACGCCTATTCTTATGAAGACAGACAATGTCAATTTTTTGGATCCAGCTGGAGATTTAGAGCGTGACAGCGATGCACGATTGCATCCAGAACAGGCCACACGCATTCACGACTTTTTCGTCCACCTGGCCGTCTGTCACTCAGTTGTGCGAGAATCTTTGTCGGAAACTGAGTCTGGCACAGGCTTCTCAGCTTCTTCTCCGGATGAACTTGCACTTGTATCCGGTGCCAACTACTTTGGGTACTCGTTCCTCGCTCGTCGTAACGGAGAAGTAGCGATATTAGTGCCTGACAAACGGGAGGAAGTGGTCTATCAACTCTTGCAGATGGTTGATTTCACCAGTACGCGCAAGCGGATGTCGGTTATTGTACGCACACCTGACAAACGCGTGATGTTACTGACTAAAGGTGCCGACTCGGTCATTTTCCCTCGGCTAGAATCATCGTCTGATCCGACGATGGTCGATACGACACTTGCGCATCTTGAACGGTATGCCACTGAGGGTTTGCGAACGCTTGTAATCGCACAGAAGGAGCTCTCACCCGACGTCTTTGCTGAATGGTCTAATGACTACGATGCGGCTTTAAGTGATTTGGAACAAATGGCACTGCAAAAGCGTGGGGAAACAAACCGCATCGAAGAGCTTGAAGAGCAGCTGGAGCAAGGTCTAAAATTGATTGGTGCCACAGCTATCGAAGATCGGCTGCAGGATAAGGTCACTTCTACACTAGGTGACTTGTCTCGGGCCGGCATCAAGATTTGGGTGCTTACTGGTGATAAAGAGGAGACGGCTGTGAACATTGGATTCGCATGCCAACTCCTCAACAACGACATGGAACGGATCATGATAAACACAGACACAACGCCTTCAGCCTCAGATCTGTACGACATGCTGCTTGCTCGTTGTCTCGAAGCCAGAAAGCGTGCAGAACGACAAAATTGTAAAGATTTAGACGACACGCCACAACAAGCCATAATTATTGATGGTCGTAGTCTTACGATGGTGTTTAGCAATAACATTTTGTCTGAGCTCTTTCTCGAGGTTTCCCAGCAGTGTGTTTCTGTCATTTGTTGCCGTGTATCACCTAAGCAAAAGGCCCAAGTGGTTCGACTTTTCAAGACAAACTTGCATGGCTGTCGTTCACTTGCCATCGGTGACGGCGCCAATGACGTCGCTATGATTCAGGAAGCACATATTGGGGTTGGCATTTCAGGGCATGAAGGGATGCAAGCAGTCAATGCTAGTGACTTTGCAATTGCTCAGTTTCGTTTCTTAAAGCGATTGCTTCTCGTCCACGGTCACTGGAACTATCGCCGTATGGCCAAGTTAGCACTTTATGTTGTCTATAAAAACATTTTGCTTTTTGGTACCGAGTTTGTGCTTGCTGCGCTGCCCCAGTGTGGATCCTCTGGCACGCTATATTTTAACAACATGTGGATCAATGGTTACAACGTCTTCTGGTCATCTTTACCCATTGTAATCGTAGCTGTAACCGAACAAGAAGTCCCGGCACATATTGCTGAACAGTTTCCTGGGCTTTATAATGTCGGTGCACAGGGTGAGCTATTCAGTTTGCGTATCTTCGCGCAATGGGTAGCTGAAGCGCTCTACGAGTGCATTGTCTGTGGTCTGGTGCCGGTTTTGATTATTGGTGGACCAGTCGACTCTACTGGGTATGGCTTCTCCCGCGATTTGTGTGGTGCGATTTCTTACTGCTGTCTAATTAGCGTTGGTTGGGTCAAGCTTGCTTTAAACATGGTTACTTGGAACATTATCACCGCACTTTCGTTCATTTTAACAATCGTGTTTTGGTACATTTCAGCTTACGTCATCGCAAAATCTTCTCCAACGTCTGTAGCAGACACGGCATTTCCGCACATTTTTGTCTTGCCTGAATTTTACTTGGCAATCTTCCTTTCTCTACTTCTGTGTCTCGGCCGTGATTTCCTCTGGAAAGCTTACAAGCGTGAGATGAGACCAGAATACTACCACATTCTTCAGGAATTTCACCGATATGGAAGTCACAATCCAGAGAAGGCTCAATGGACGCCACCAGAGCTACGCTATCAGCGCTTCCAAGCCGATTTAACTGAAGACAAACCGCGCTTTGACTTGCCAGAACAACAAGCAGCACCTAATCATCAACCATTCAGCGCAGACCACAAGACGTACACAGGCTTTGCCTTCTCAACTCAAGTCCTTGAAGATCGTTTTTTGAATCCGATTCGCGAATTGGTACTACCTGTGAGTCGTGTTTCAACAGCGATAGGGCGAGTATTGTCGCCTGGTGGGAGCCCCACTACTCGCCAAAATCCAGACAGTCCGATGCGCCGGGATGTGCACGATGAGCCAAAGTCGTTTGAAGAGAAGATTTTATCGCTGCCCATCGAAAAGCAAGCAATATATGAGATTCAGCGCTACCAGGTGTTTACCGGATGGGGATCCCTGCGACCAGGACACCTTCTCATTACTGATCCGCCTAAGTTCACTAATGCTGTCATGACGGACGGTGCTGGCGTTTTTGATCTCGATCATTGGGTTGTTGACCCAAGTTTTGGTGGCTCCGATCAGTGGCAATATGCGACCCGTTTTAAGGATTTCTTACGTGCCCAAGAAAAATTACAGCTCGTTGGACCCGAAGGTGGGCCCCCGGAGCTTCAAGTTCATGCAAGTGGACTCGATCCTGACTTGCAAGAGCGACGAAGGATCAAGAAAAAGCTTAACCGACTCGTTGGACGTAGCGTTCGCCGCCGTCGTTGGGTACGGAAGGAAAAGCTTCTTGCTGAGGCTATCGATCGCGCTAACATCGCTTTAGCAGCAACGGATTCAGAGTCCGATACTACTCGCGTGCTTCCGAACTCTTCATAATATATATGCATGCATTGCAGACTAGTTTAGCAACACATTTAATAACAACTCCCCTTTTTCACGGCATGTTTTATATAAGATATGACTTATAGCAAAGCAAAGCGCAGCGGCAAATCAATTCGAGCAAAACAACCAAATGTGACTACAACTGTCACTGCGGTAAGGTACCCAAATTGTGCGTGAAAATCGTGAAGCATTAGACGTTGTATCCACAAGCGTGCTGGCATACCATCTATACAGCCGCTAATGGGATCAGACTGCGTCACGTCACCAAAGTCTTCGAGTGATGAACGCAGCCGTGTACGCAGCTTGCAGGTGAATATCTCTCGTGCGAGGAATGAACCACCCAATCGTCCAATAAACATACACACACATCGCAGCCATAAATTTGCCTGATCTTGCAAAACAGTTAATGCACTACCTGGCTTCTCAAATACTGCCAGAAGCGTCAAAAGCGAAGGCACCAGAATAAGCGCCGTCGTATCGGCCATATTGTCTTGCTCGGCAAGTTTCATCAAAAAGTACAGCGGTTTCAAAGAGTTACTTGTAGCTGTTCTAAAGTCTACATTTGATGTAGATGGCCCTGATGCCATCGTCACGACACCAGACTGGGACGATTTCCCACATTCTCTGCAGTTCCTTTGAGCAAGAGAGCATTTTTCCCCGAAGAACATCAAGTTTGTTTTCCCCTTGTGAGTGGGTGAATACGCGTCGGTCGATGCTCGATTCGTAAGATAGTAGTCACGTTCCCAATTGCGGTTTTCGGTTTCTTCCCAAGATGGCAGCTGATTTGTGCTGACGGATGGACCTTTGTCGTCGATATGTTGAAGTCGAGATTCGCCGTCCAAGCCGTCCAAAGGGTTGAAGTCATATTCCTCATTTTGCACATCTAGAAGTTCGGACTGCGTTTCCACTACTGCCGCACCCGCTACACCACAGCTAAATCCTAACAAGCTTTCACCATTAAACGCTTTTCGTTGCGGACGACACCTTGAAGTAGCCATAGCAGACGTGGTCGTGCGCAAGCAAACAGCGACCGATGAGCTAAGGTTGACGTGCAATGGAGTCGTTAGCCAAACGGTAGACACGCGCTTAAAATCTGTGTAGACGCCTGTGTTGAGAAATGCAATATGGATGTTGTTTAGAAGAAGCATCGCCCAATACAATCCATCAATGGGCGTGTCAGTGCCAACCAAAATGTACCAGTACACATAGTAGTAGAGCTGACCGACATACAACAACGACGGATGTGCAAATGGCTCCGACATGCTGTTGACCATATACGTGATCACAAAGAAATAGCCTTGCATCAGCAAAAGATACAACACAGAGACCGCCAGCTTGAGCCATGACTCAACATGAGTCGGCGACGTTGCCGTCGAATCTTCAGTCAAAGTAAATAGCCTTACACAAAAATGGCCAAAAAACAACGGAAGATGGACCACTAGTGTGCTGTACGCCACTGCATGCTCAAAGCTAAAGCGCACTTGAACTTTTCGAGAACAAAAAAGCACAACGAACAAAACTGGCGATAGCGAGTACAGCAAAAACCACAAACTCGTGACCGCTTCACCTCCTTGCGCTGAACTGTACGAGCAAAACATGACTAACCACAGCACAAGCGCACTGAAGCCACATCCGTACAGCAGCCTTGTCATCATCACATGTTTTCTTTGGCCTTGTATTTTGTTCTCTTTCCCCTTCCTGGCTTCCTTGCTATCTTCTGCCAATTTTTGACTTGCAATTCCTTTTTTTGTCTCGCGGTCAGAAGAGGCGTCCTCTTTTTCTTCAGGCACGGGACGCAATTCATCTTGCTCCTGTTCATGTCGAATCAGCGCCTCGTATTGAGACCGCGATGTCCTTGACTGTATACTGAAGAACAACGGAATTGCACCTAACGCCACAATACCAAACAACGTGTTCCCAACGATCCATGAGTATCTGCTCGCTGGCAAGCTCATGTACCACTCCACGAGGCTGATAGCACCGCTGACAGTCGCCAGTCCATACCAAATTGTAGACTGCGACTCTGTATTCAGCACATCATTAAGGCCAGAAAATCGAAATACTAAGAGAAACGGCATCGTGACGAGAACGAAGTTGCACAAGTACCAAACAGGGTTTACAATTAGCGAGTACGCAGTGTGGCCAAAGTGACCAACAATACAGAGCAACGTTAGTAATATGAGTGAAATAAGCGGAAAAGTAGCGCGCCATAGAAATAAGTTCCATTCGCTGTGATTTTCGGGGCCATGACGAAATTTCCTTAGCAATTCAAGAGCTGCGTGGGATTGACGTCGTGCGCGTCGTGAAGTAGCTGCTAGGAAGTTCCAGATACTTTTACCGCGGGTAGATGATCTTGACACAGATCTAGGCAAAGCATTGCTATGTGAGCTACGCACAAGCTTCACAGCCCACGTAATTAGCGCCACACTGCCACGCCAGACTCGCATTAAAGCGCCCATACTATTGTGTTAAAAAGAAATGATTACGATGCGGAGAACAATTGTTGCTTGACGATGTGTCAACACATCATCGAGCAACTTTTCATGAATCAGCTTTGCTGTCAACGCCAATCAAAGTGCGCTGGATTAAACGACGAAGATGGCCGATGGACTTCTCGTTGACCGCACGCAGTCGAATGCCATGAACCTGCAAGTGCTAAAACGGCAAGACAATGACGTTGCTGAAATCATAGACACGGCTAGTCATGTCGTAATATACGAGTTTGATCAGGATGCGCAGAGCTGGGTGCGTCAATAGTACAAAGTGGGGGGACCTTGAACGATATTGACGTTAATGGCCTTCGTTACTATTGCAGAAGCGTAAGGATGTTGAGGGATGTTTATTTGTTGTCAAAAGGTACAGAGCATCAAGTTCCTGGAGTTGTTTTGCGTTGAAGGTTAGCTAACCGATTTATGTTGTGCAGAACGTCGACGCCGCGCTTTCAAGTTTTCGTTAACAACCGCCTAAGTACAACTAATATGACGCTTTCGCTAAATGAGCATCTTCAAGTAGACAACGTTGATAGTTTTCTCATCCTGCGCAGCCCCGACGTGGTACGATCTAAGCTTTCGAATAGGAGTTAGTTGCTGTTGATACTGATATCACTATTGTCTCGTGTCTTAGGCATATTCGACGGGTTACGCCATATTTGGCGTATGGTTCTTTCCGGAAGAAGACCGTAGTAAAATTTTGCAATTGCTTCAACGGTAAATATTTGGCCTTATGATATGAGTTATTCTAGCTTGTGACGAATGAAAGGGCTGATGTGACAGGCTGATTCAGTCGTTGAGGTCTTCTCAAAATGGAAGTATCACGATACCAAAGACTCCATTACCCATCCAACCGCAGAATTCGAAACAGCAGACTTCACAACCGACACAGCAGCTGGAGTCTCAGTCGCGAAATCGAGGACGATCTCGTAACAAGCGTGAAGATTCGAAGCGTCGTGGCGTGAATGTCAACAACCCTATAGCGATCTTACAACGATCTTCTCAGGACAAACGTAGTAACAGCAGCAGCAGTGGCGGCAGTGTTAATGGCTCAAATAAGCAGGAAAATACCCAGGCAGTGGCAAATTCGATCGGAATGGTCCCGATCTCCAAGGCAGAAGGTATTGCTGCGGGGGAAGCCATTATGGGCATGATTTCGCAGAACCGATCGGAGCAGCAGAAACATCGGTTGGCGCCACCAGTGAACAAGGAGCAGTTGAAACAAACATTGATTGGCTTATTGGATGATGTCCAATTCTTTGACCAAATTTACCATGCGTATGTGAATCGTGTCTCGAACCGAGGATTGTGACAGTTTCCGTCGATACAAGTAGCGTTGGCAATGTGTGGCTGCCCATAATGGTCGAGATTTAGAGCCTTGAGCGCACATTTATCGGTCAGGTATGTGGCATGATGTGCGAACAGAGCAGAGAGACCTGTTAACCACAAAAACTCGCAAAGATCATAAAGTGGAATGTCTTAAATGGTGTTATGTCTCCATTTATTTCCGATCATAATAATTTTGACTAAAATCGATTAGGATGTCTGGAACTAATAAAGATAATCCGTTCTCGCATTTCGAATTCGCTCCACCTCATTCACAGAACAGCAGTGCTTGTGCAGGCAAAAAGCACAAATTAAGTTCTCCGAAATCCTGCGCTAAGCGTGTGAGAAGCAGAGCTCGAAAAATACCGAACGAGACAATTTCTTCTAGCCGTCCCGAGAAGACTGAGCATACGTTAGAGACAAAGACGACCGATGGACGACTGGACTTGCTGCTTAAACTTTTGAGAGCACGAGATGGTATGGAAACGCCTATTGATAAGTTTGGGACTCAAGCTTGCGTAGTTCCAGGCGCTCAAAACATCAAAATTCAGCGTTTTCAACTCCTTGTCGCGGCACTCTTGAGCTCTCAAACACAGGACCCTGTCACTTACGCCGCGATGCAGCGTTTACATCAACTAGGATCGGGTGAAGATGGTCTCACCGTTGACGTTGTACAGGCCACAAGTGAGGAAAAACTAAGTGAAATACTCAAACCTGTAGGGTTTTACAATCGCAAGGCACAACAGCTCAAGCGCGTTGCTGCCGTATTAAGCACTCAATATGACAAAGATATTCCTCGCTCATTAAATGAGCTGCTACAATTTCCAGGCATCGGGCCTAAGATCGGTCGACTTATCACTTTGCTAGCGTGGAACCAAGTAGATGGCATTATAGTCGACACTCACGTGCACCGTCTAGCCCAACGACTCGGTTGGGCATCGACCAAGACGCCGGAAGACACAAGAAAAGAGTTGGAGGACTGGGTTCCTCACGAATATTGGGGTAGGCTCTCTCTTGCTATTGTGGGCTTTGGACAGGTCATATGTACAGCAAAAAAACCGTCCTGTTCTAAATGTCCGTTAGCTGCAAATTGCCCAAGTGCTTTTAAGGTTGAGAAATTATCTTCCACTTCTACGGCAAAACGTTGAAGCGAAGGATTCTTTAATTATCATATTTAGATATACAACATGGCACGATGCCACGGCATAGTTTTCGACTTCTCTTCTATGCCGTGTGTGTATATACTACTAACAGCAGCACAAAACAGAAACTCAGCGTGGTGATCGCTAATAACGCCAATGCCCGATCTGAGACCTCGTCCATTTTGCGTCTGTGTGTATTCATCTGCATTGACAGCGAAACAGGAGATGGGCTCGTACTGCGCGGCACCAGAAGTTTGACTGCGGATGAGAGCGAGACCATCCAGCTACTTATCAATTGAAACAATTTAAGCGTCTGTACACTAATTGCAAATTTCTTAAGGACTTTCCCCCAATCCTTCTCGTCCTTGCGACGCCGACGTATTCGTCGAGGTGCAACCCGCTCGTCAAACTGCGTCCGGTGCGGTAGGAGACCATTATACTCATTGTCGTCAACACTGCCATCGCTTTCGTCCTCACTGCTACTAGAAATGAGAGGCTGTCGTAGTTTTCTCATCTCGTCGTCCATCATTGAGCAGCCCTGTTGCTGATTCCAAGTCTGGAAAAGGTTTCCCACGACTTTAAAAATACTAAAACGTTTACTGATAACAAAATGATTCAACATACTTAATAACTTGTAATCATTGATAACAGGTAAATGTCAGAACTCTTGTTGACCTTCATTCCGCAACAGAGCATGAATAACCAGCTTCGTAACGAGCTGCTGCAACTGTCATCTTCACAGCTTCGTGAATTGTTACATGCCAGCGGTCACAGTGAGTTACTACGTGATGTAAAAAACGAAAAGCATGAGGTAGATGAGCAGCTTGTGACGGAGGCAAAGAACGAGGGCAACGCATTCTTCAACTGTGGTTGCCTACACGACGCTGTCTCCGCTTACTCTCGGTAATTAGCTTGCACTGTCTTCCTTCATTTATATTAAGACTCACGTTTTGATCTAATGACAATGTGTGATGTCTAGATGTATCGATATGGACCCGAACAATGCCGTGTGCCTTTCAAACCGAGCTGCAGCTTATTTGAAGGTATGTTGACGCTGCTACTGAAGTGACTGGGTGTCCGCCCATCTGACAAAATTTTATTTAGCTAAATGAGTTTGAGCTCGCATTAGCCGATTGCACTAAGGCGATTGAAATTGTTCCTACAATAAAGGTATATAAGTGATGCACTGGTCGTTGTTTGGTCATTTTTAACGAAATGTTGTAGTCATCTGTGCGTAATATCTTACGAAACATCTTAGCCATTTATGCGTAGAGCAATGGCGCATCTTGCGCTTACACATTATGAGGAGGCTGTTGCTGATTTTGCCGCGGCATTAAAGTTCGAGCCGCGCAACAAAGAGTGTTATGCCCAGCTTCAAACCATCGTGGATTCTGCAACAAATGCTCAGCAACATGATAGCATGTTCAGCACGAAGCTGCGCAGAGCAGGCATTCATGCTATGATGATTGTTTCTGTCCGTGACGGGTGGTCAGTTTGTGCTGTGAGAGGCAATCCTGGACCTGCTGCTGTGAACGGCCACACGCTATTTAGAGGCTACAATGAACGTATATATCTGTTCGGTGGAAGGGCTGTGCGGGAGCAAAAGCCAGACGTATTTGTTTTGGACGAAAGCGATAATTCAAGCTGGGATATCGTGCCAACGAGAGGTGTAGGAGCCCCTCTATCATGTGCATGGCATTCAACTTCAGTGATCGGAAAAAAGGAGAAAAACAATATTTGTGTTTATGGCGGGGTGTCATCACAAGGAGAGGATGCTAGCGTTCATTTGCTCGTGCCAACAACATCGCGCGATTTTGAATGGGTACAAGCACACTGTGCGCAGAATTTGAAAGAAATTCCTGCATCACGATCAGGTCATGCAGCAGTGTCAATTATAGACAGTAATGACGACCAAGCGGTCTACATATTCGGCGGACGGACGAAAAGAGGGGTTAGTGATCAATTACTGATCCTACACTTGTCTTCAATCCAACATGAAAAAGATGTGAGCAACCCAATACATGCGACGATTACCTGGGAAGAAGTTTGTCCTTGCGATCATATTGACACTGTCGGAAGCAGAAGCTTTTGGCCTTCTGCTCGAGACGGCCATTCGATGTGTTATTTTCCAAGCACGGGGAATCAAGCACCGCGGCTCATTGTTTTCGGCGGTAATGGGCAGTTGAATGATGACAAAAAGAATGACGTGTGGTTATACGACCTTGAAACGCAGCTTTGGACCTTTTTCGACTGCTTTGGAGATTGCCCAACTCCTCGTTCATACCATACGGCACATGCTGTCGGCAACTTTTTATTAGTTGTTTGTGGACGGACTGCCGATTCCGAAGACGACGGCGTGTATATGCTTGATATAGAAGGAGCTGAATGGCACAAATTGCCGATTCCAAGCAACAGCGACTTTAGTCCTCGCGCGTGGCATTCCAGCATTCTCACTGAAGCTGGCAAACTATTTGTGCTGGGGGGTGGCACTTTTCACGGTCCATTAAAAAGTGCCGCTATTCTTGATTTGGGTTATTTTCATGCACAGGCTCCTTTGCTTAGCCATCATTAAGTTCTTGAACGGGTGATATCTGATCAAGATTAGCCCCTGCGTAACAACTCGAACTTCGAATTTGCGGCAAGAACATTTTCTTTTTTGAGAAGTAAATATTACGATTTTTGTGTCTCATTTCTTGAATGTATTCTTTCTCGAAATTGGTGTGATGATTCTTGATCTTTCATATTCTATAGATAAAGAAAAATGTTTTCGGAAGTAGTGATAGTGCGATGATGCTGGTTGAACACTAGAAGCTTTCGTCCAGACCAAAATCCACACCAGCTTAAGGAGTCATTGTGAGCCACAAGTTATTGTGTTGTCTCGAAAAAAGTCTGAAGAAAAATGGATAGAGATCGCAGACAGCGAACGAACTCGTCAGTAGAATAGTGCTCTCGAATCTGTCAAATGTGAGTGCCGCTTCGGTCATGACGAAGAATGAAAGAGAGAGGTCGGTTTTGAGAATCACGTGCGTGTCATGTCAACATATTGAGTTGTGAGCTACGAGTCAAATTAACGAGCAAAAGCTTGAATTTGACGTAGCACGACAATCCGTAGGCTATTTGCTTATCGTGGTGGTACATGTAAACGACATAGCCCAGCGTCAAACATAGAAATGTTAGCAATTTCGATGAAGTCCAGAAAGTGCGTCATTCTGGTGATCCGTGGATTGCAAGTATGCACCATGCGTTAAATGTTCGTTCATGGACAATTTGAGGACCCATGTGAAAGAAGTTTGAAATGTTTAAGCCATAGATTTGAATGCCGTCCAAGAACTTAATTTTCATCATCCGATGTTTCGGTCTCATGAAATTTCGCAATATACTTGACAATGAATAATGAATGACTCCGAATGGCTCATCTAGCTGTAGACAGGATAAATCTTTTTAAGCAATTGCCCAGTAGGATCTTCAATTGCTTCAATTGGTGAAGACATCTTTGATTTAAAACTGACTTTTTGCTACTCTTTGTACACTTTGATATGCATTTTTTTAGCGTATCCCATGGTTGGGGATCAATATGATATCAAACATGATAAGATATCGTCTGTTCTACTCAAATTATGATTCTTGGATTCGAGACGGTGAAGTCACAATGGAAAGCACAATAGTACATGAAAAAGTGGCTTCAACGCCAAAGCTGTCGGCTCTTTAGTTGCCGGTCTTCGTGACGTCAGCTTTAGAGGCACTTTCAATAAATGACTTAAGCTGTGCCCAACTGCTTACGGTAAAGAGAACCGGTCTATCGTCTGATGCCTTGGCGATGCACTCTCGAAATGAGTTGAATTTTATCAAAGGATGAACATGAATCCGATAAAATTTCACCAGTTGATCTAGGAGTTTGGTCGATGAAGTTGAAGCATCTGAGACCATCCATATTCCGAGATCAGCAGCAATCAGAGCCAGCAGATCTGTAACACTGTCCCCGACGTACACTAAAATCGACTGAGTATCCTTCTGCATCATTCGTGCGTGATTTACAAACCGCTCCTTGTCCATAGAAGACTGCACCTTCACATTAATAATTCCAGTTGTTACACTTTCTGCATTCATCTCCAATTCTGCACAAAAGTTACCACATTTGCACTTCAAACTATGGGTTTAATCTCTTAATTCGTAACGTACCATTGGCAATGATCTGTGTCGTGTCAAATGTGACTCCTGATTCATCCATCACAGTCTCCACTAGTTTTCGGCTCCAATTTACAGATATAACTATCCATTTATCAATACTTGCCAGGGTCTCGATACAATCGGGTCGAATTCGTACTTCAGTCGACGCTTTGATAAGATCATCCAAACGTATCCCCTTAAGCGCTCGATCTTCCACGACGCGCTGCATTGACCGCAAATCCACTGCAGCATATCCTTCTAAGAACTCACGAAGTCCCGCATCGTCAAATTCTGAGACAAAATCGTTCTTTTGATTTTGATTTTGCCGTTGCCACATGATCTTATAGTGCCTAACAAATTCGTCAGTCTCGTTCGCATATTGCGTCATCAATTGCTGTCGTATTGAAACAGAGGTTGATGTTGCTAGTTCAAAGAGGAGTGAGGTCGTATCATGCTGTGTGATGGTTTCGTCGAAGTCTGTACACAGCAGTATAGGTCGAGCTTTTGAGACTTTAGGCATTTGCATATTTAGTTACGTTATAATTATAAGGGGTACGCTCGGTTTTTCCTGAGTGTAACCCTATTCTGAAAAAGACGTAAGGTGACAAGGATGGAGACGCTGGGGCAGGTCAAGCAACGCCATAAGCTTGAAATGCGAGTATGAAGACTTAATTTTCAACTTTACCAACAGTATGACCTTATTAAGTCGCTAATTTTGACGAGTTTCTCATCTCCACGTGTAGACACTGCAAAACGAGATTAAATTGTTCCAGAAGAAGGCCAAGAAAGAGCGAATGGGCAAAAAGGAGATCGAAGAGAAGATCTTAAGTATGGAAATCGCTGTTAAGGAACGACAGGATCAGGAGCTGGAAGGATATGAGGCAGAAATGGCGAAGGACGCTTCACCCTCAGCTGCTCCCGATTTTGAATTAGCAGAGTTATCCAAACAAGCCAAGACTCAAGCAAAAGCTCAGCGTAAGCGTGAAGCTAAAAAGAAACAAGATCGGGAACGACGTGAATTTATTGAAGAGGCCAACAAGAAGACAGTAAGTCAACGGCAGATCGAGGCCAATATGATCCTAGCCCAACTTGCTAAATACGGGCTCAAGATCAAAGAAATTCCGTCCGATGGTCATTGCATGTATCATGCTGTTGCTGATCAAATCCAGCAAAAACGATTGAATATCGCTGATGGACTAGCAGGATATCAGCACTTAAGAACACTTACGAGCGAGTACATGCTCGCACATTCGGAGGACTTTTTGCCATTTATGGCACTGGATGATTCTTTTGCTAGTCCGGAAGACGCGTTTGCGACTTACTGCGATCAACTGGTAAACACTGCTGTTTGGGGTGGTCAACTGGAACTTCGTGCTCTTGCTTGTGCACTTCGGGCGCCTATCGAAGTATTTTCAGCTGAAGGCGATGTACTGTTAATGGGTGGCGAGTTTGTCGATGAACATGTGCCGAAACTACAGTTGACATATCACCTGCACTATTTCACATTAGGTGAGCACTTTAACTCCGTCACACCAGCATAGACAGCTCCAAGCTGCACGTTAAGCTTAGGTAACATTTTTGCCTCTATTTTCTCGAATTGCATTCATTCAGAATCAACTTTAAATTATAAAGAATTTCATCTAGATCTACGTCACTTCACGATACGACGCAGCTGCTCTAGCTCGGCACGGCAATGCGACGCTAGTTGAGCATCGTGGTGTTTCGCGTGAAGACGAAACATACGTAAACATCGCTCATCGTTTATGCTGGATGAAACAGCATCCCGGGGATCTACTTCCAGTACTAGCCTGACAAATGCACCAAGAGCTCGAGCGCATTCCCGAAGTAATTCAATCGAAAAGAGAGAACATTCATCTGCGTCTTCTAGTCGTCGCAATATCACAGGTGTGGCTTCTTCTCGAAGTTGCTGCGCTATCCGTCTAGCCAGAGATAATTCATTTTCTGGAAATCGCGGGATGGCACGTGCGATGTTAGCTAGCGCTCCAATGGCACATCGCGACATATTAAGGTCTGCAGCTTTTGCCGCTTGAATTAATGGCATCACCATATCAGCCTGGGCAACCATGCAAGAATTCTGCACATCTTCCGTGAGCTCAGCAAGCCCAGCGCAACCTTCTCGCATCGCATCCAAGAATCGAGACGTTAGCATGATCTTCATCGCTTCGACGCCGGAACTAGGAGTTGGTTTTTTGAGAGACAAAGTCCGCCACAATTGCGTTCCAAGTCCTTCATGATCTGAAGAACACAACTGCTCCGAATGATGATTAAAAGCAGAGGTTACACCTGATGAAGCCATAATTTTACTGGCAATTCGTTTCTGGCCACTACTTTGAGAACATGGCAGTGCAGTAGTGTCAATAATTGGTGCTAGCCTCTGATACAAGATACGATAGAGTCCATCCCAGAGCAACATACTTCCGCTACGACGTTGAAACTCTACAAGAAACGTTTGTCGATGTGCATATACTCGAACTACAAATTCGACGTGGCTGTAGTGTACATACTTGAGGCACTTGAATTTGCACTTCAGCGGATGGAATATAGCCTCAATTTTACATCCTGTAAATAGTGCCGCAAGAGTAGATGTCGCCTCTGCAGCTGTGCCAGCTCCTGAATATGTCTGTTTAGACTTGGTGTAAAAGTGGTAAGAGTCAACTGGATATGGTGGCGGGGGTAATACCGGCGCAAATATATGCTTCAGTACGGACGGCAGTCCTACTTCCATGTCTCTGTGTCCCATATGTTTAAAGTTTTTCTTTTCTCTCTCATTCAGTTCATCGTCACTTCCTGGTTCAAAGTCTTGTCGTTCCGTCGTTGGATTTACCACGTACGACGCATAACTGCTGGTGCTACTGGTACTAGCGCAACTATTCCCACTAGAAGTGCGTGCCCTTCGTAATCGCTTCCAATCCTCATACGGTGTGCTCTGTTCTTTTCTATCGCTACTGTCCTCATCATATACTTTATGTCTTCGAGAACAATGTGATAAGCCATCCCTGATCGTCTTTTTACTCACTTTCACGGTTCCACTGCGGCGAAATTTGGGGACACTCATTGGCTCACAATCGCGAGTGAGACAAGTCTGGACTTTGCTCGCCTCACTGCGTCTAAGCTCCAACTTAGACGGTAACCGCGGCGATGTGTCCGACACTGCACACGTTAAAGAACGAGATGACACAAGGCATGGCGGACCATCTGCAATATGGTGTGACTTCGGGCACATCTGATGTCGCGAAGTAGACAGTCGTTGGTGCATATGGTGGTAATGATGATCTAGCTGCGCAATCGACTGCGGGTATTGTCGGCGTAGGCGGCGCGCAGTTACGCGGCTATCGGCGGAGGCGTCAGTCATGAGCATAGAGCTCGTTTGTTTAGTTTTATTGTGTGAGAACTGAATGGATACAATGCGTAACTTTGACTCAAAGTTCATGCGTGCAGCCGAAATGCCGGTGCTCAGATTGTCGGATTTTATGGATCTGGACGCGCCGATTCATTGCCAGCTGATTTGACTTGACATTTGTAAGAGATTACCGATAGTCGTACTTTTTAATCAAGATTGCAGAAAAAGCGTGGAGAGTTCGGAAACGAGGGAAAAGTATAAATGAGCCCAATATCACGATGCTTAGCGCTTTCCATATATTCTTCTACATTCTACTTCAATCGCAAATCGTTTCTTGAAAAGTAAAAACTGATGCTGTGGTGGCGTCTGTACGCTCATTCCATAAAAAAATTGGACGGCTTCACAGCTCCTAACGAATGCAAGGCGTAACGGGATACGTAACATAAAATGGAGTAGTTACACATTTGCCAAAGCTCAAAAGCACCAAAGTATGATACTACAGTGCTGGCCAAAAATATGTAGCCATGACTAATTCTCAAATTTTTATGTCAATT